TCGTGCAACACAACCATGTTCTCAAAGGTCCTCACATGCCTCGACGGGTCGGATGACCCATCATACACCAGATTAGTCTCCTTGAAATTATTTGGTAGGGGGGCTGCGAGAATCTTCCGCATGAATGGATGTCCTCGAGCCCTCCTTTCCAGCCTTCCTTCAACCCTGTCTTGTAACTGGCGCAATTGCTCCGCCATCCTCTCCATCGCCCGATCTCTTCCACCTTCTCCATCTCCATAACTGGATACGTCCTCGTCTTGGCCTCCTACTGCCGTGGTCGGCGCGGTGGTGGCATGAGATGTGTGGCCCGTGACTTGCTGCACCGCCTGCGCCGCCGCAGCCACCGCTATCCTCTGCATCTCCTCCTTGGTTATCGTCACTATCTGTTGACCAGGAGCTTGTGCGACGGTTTGTTGTGGTGTTCCTCCCTGTGCCGCAACTCCTCCTTGCACCAGTGCCGGATTTGGTGGCGGCGGCGTGGCATCGCCGCTGCGGCTGCTGCACGAGCTTCCTGGGCGCGACTGGATCCGACGTCTCCTCTGGGGCCACCGTCGATGCTCCTACACCCTGAAGGACGGGTGTAGGAGTGACCGGCATCTGCGAAGGACCAGAGAAACCCAGAGGAGGGCCTTGCCCCATCGGCCTGGTTGTCTTCCAAGCGTCGTCGAACGTCGACTGCAAGTTAGTTCTGGGAATTCCGTCCGCCATAGCTGAGCTTCAAACACAACTTTTCGAACAAAGTTCCCACAGATGGCGCCAATAATGCAAGTGTGAACGTCCTGGTCCGGTTTGGAATGGATCGATCTTTGTCCTCGCCGGTAGAACGCCGGAAACCTGCAAATAACTCTCACACCAGGGGTTGTGTCCGGTGAAGAGCCTCTGATGCTTAAGTCAGTATGTGTATGGGTATACTGAAGTGAAGAATGAATAGAATGTGTTAAGGGAGAAAGGCTCACCCCCTTTATATAGGGGTGAGATACCTGCCCTAATAGCTGCCCGGATAAGATGAGCTGGCTGCCCAAGCTGCTCGTCCGTACTCCGACACACCGCACGCATGTCAGAGGTTGCATGTGGGCGTTGTGGAGCTGTCAGAGGTGGTTATCGATATCCACCAATGCATTCTCGACACGTGTCCCCCTGCACATGGGGTAAATATTCTCCTGAGATTTGGTTAGAAGTTCCTACACGCGCCTGTGACTAGGCCGACTGTCGGACCCTCGAGGCGATCGACCTGATGAGGTCGAATAGGTTGCTCGATCGCTTATCTGGTCGAGCGATGGATTGGTCAACTACCTGCTTGATCGATTATCTGAATGGTCGATCCTCCCGCCTTTTGGCTTGGCTTCCTCTTGGTTTGACCTTCTCGACATGACCGGTTTAGCCTTGTGTATATAATATCCATATCAGTCCTGATGTAGGATGAATTGGTCCACATATATCAACATGAATCCTATGAAGAAACATAGGAGATTCAATCCCAACTTTAGTATGTGAATGCCTTAATATCAATTTTCCTTTTGCACAGGCATCACAAATAAATTGATTAAAAGAAGGGAGATTGCTGCTTGATACGTTATGCCCAATAGAGTTAAAAATAATCCGACGCGTCATACTAAGCCCAGGATGACCCAATCGTTCATGCCATAATTTAAATGAAATTGGGTTTTTAAATTTTAAACTTAATGCAACATGATTAATAGAAGCTCGAATGTAAGTACAATACAAGCCCGAGGAGAAAGAGGGAAGTTTTTTTACAATTTTCTTTTGACTTCCTTGTGTATGTCATAAGAAGGTATTCTTTATTGTTTTCAGTCTTAGTTTCAAGATGAAAACCATTTGCTCGAATATCTTTAAAACTAAGGAGTGTTCTTTGTGATTCAGGGTACAAAAACGCATCGTTAATTATTAATTCAATACCTTGAGGAAGAGTAAGTAGAGCTCTGCCGGAGCCTACTATCACAATTTTATCATGAGCAATTGTAGTAACACTCTTTTTCTTTTCATTTAAAGTTTGGAAAAACTTTTTATCCTTCAAAATAGTGTGTGTAGTAGCACTGTCAACCAGGCATAAAATATTCTCTTTCTCCATGACTTGCAAAATATTAAATGTTTATGGCACACTAAAAAGAAGAAAAATAAAATATTATAAGCAAGCATTACAATCATAAAGTTTCAATCATTACAATTATATAGTTTCAATCAAACATATGAAAACATACTTATAAAGACAAACAACAATAGCATGAAACCACACATGAAATAAAATACCCAGTGCTGTGATAGAATACATATGAAATCATACATTATCACCATAGTCTTCTAGCTCGAGCTTCAATAAATCATCATCATCATCATTATTATTATTTATTGCTAAATTTGCTTCAGTCAAATTAGCGTGATGTGATTCACCTTGAGGAGCCTTTCCTTTTTTTCCTTCATCATCCTTTGATAGGCTTCGACTAGGTGTTGAGAAGTACGACATGTACGGGACAAATGACCACTGCATCCACACCTATAGCAAACTTGCTTTTCTTGATTATTTTGTGGAGCATCAATGTTATTATTTTCTTTACGGCCTTTTGATTCCTCAACACCATTGCCTCGTCCTCCATCTCTAGTCCAAACATGATTACGACATTTACCACGTCCTCGACCACGACCATGACCACCACCACGTGGTGGCTGGTTATGATATCCTCGACCTCTTCCTCGATTATTACACTCATAATTATTAGCATGTGCTTCAGGAACAACTGAAGTACCGACTAGTCTATTATTATGATTTTTCATTAATAATTGATTGTGTTTTTCGGCCACCAGTAGAGCAGAAATTAGCTCAGAATGTGTTCCATCATTTTTAGCCTTGTACTGCTGCTGGAGTACAAGGTTATTAGCATGAAAAGTGGATAATGTTTCTCCAGCATATCAAACTCAGTAATGTTCTGTCTACAGAGTTTGAGCTGTGAGATAATACGATGTAGGGCCGAATTATATTCAATAACCGATTTAAAATCTTGAAATAAGAGATTAAGCCAGTCATACTGTGCTTGAGGGAGGATTATGGCAATTTGTTGGTCAAAACGATCCTTCAGGGATCTCCAAAGCTTTGCAGGATCTTTTTCAATAAGATATTCATTTTTTTAAATCTTTATTAAGATGATGACGAAGAAAAATCAGTGCCTTCGCCTTCTGGGCGGGAGTCCTCTCAGATGTAGGATCTATCATAACACTCAAATCAAATGAGGCTAGATGAATTTCAACATCAAGAGCCCAAGTTAAATAATTATTCCCATCAAGGGCAAGCTCAACAAATTCTCTTTTGGTGATATCAAACATTATAAAATTCAATAAATATGTTATTATAATTGAGGAAAGTAAAGAAAATACCTTGGATAATATTTCAGCAGAATAACGATTTGTAATATTATGATTTCTGATACAGAAGATCATCTATAAGACGCGACTGTAGAGCATACTCTCTTAGTATTACAAATCGAGCTCTAGAGGAAAGAGACTCGTGCTGATAACGTGTTATAAAAGTAGATAGAAGAAAGAGAGAAGAGATATAAACTTTATTTCTGAGGTACGATTTTCTTTAGAACTGAAGCCTCTGTTTATAGGAAAACTTCTGTTGGCATAACCGTAATAATACACTTATATCAGGAGCATAATAGTCATTCACATACAATATTTTATAATAAAATTAATTATCAATCAACCAACTAATACCTAACATAATTATAACAAAAATAAGTTATGCCAAATTAAGTGTATATATATATATATATATATATATATATATATATATATATCCCCTTAACATATAAGAAAATGTTGTAGGGTTTTAGGGCTTGACATGTGTCCTTTTCATAGACGAAAATAACCTTCTTTTTGTCTCTTAATTACAACTTTGCATATGATAATTTTGACCAAATTGCCCTCACTTTATTTAGCTTTTTTGGGTTGATGCTTCTGGTCAACATCATTTCTGCCACCCCACGTCCTCTGGCTATGGCGACATCATTTCTTTCTTCGTCTGGAGAAGTACCCGGAAAATCTGCTCGCCTTGCGTGTGCCTTCGTGATTGATTTGAGTTCCGTAGATTGGGTGAAAAGGCGAAACTTAATTGTTAAGCTAGAGTAGATTTTGCGTCTCTCTCTTTCCAAACCAATTTTCTGTTGGGTTCGATATACCGTACGGAACAGAGTTTACAGCGGAATTTAAAAATTTTAAAAGTATTTATCTTATAAATACTTTTTCCGTACATAAGTATAACGAGATAACGAATAAGCATCATTTAAAATCTAGTAACTTTTACTAATTTTGATTTGATATGTAATTTATAAAATTTCCTTTGTTCTTGAATTCCTTCAAAACCGACGATGTATGAGGAAATCAATTCCCGGTTTGGTAACGATCACTTCTTGTAGTTACTCACTTTAGGAATCCAAATGTCTTCCCTCTAATCGTATCTACCTTTTGAACTTTGGTTCCGACTATAGTTTCTTCGCTAGTAGAAACTACTCGGTTTTTCAAGAAGTATAGAATATATATATTTATAAGGAAATTTTTCAAGAACACTTTCTTGTATTGTCACTCAACTCTTTGAATGAATTTTCTCTTAGAAGAATTTAGCTCAAAACCTTAGCCATCAATGTGCAAACAATTTGCACCTATTTATACTAAACATTTTAGCATAAAATAATCAATATTTGATATATTTTATTTGAAATAAAATCAGATTTTATTTAAATAATCATACCAAATATTGACTTTTAATTATAAATGTGACTTGAGATATGTTGATTCTCTCAGGTGGGAGCTAGGGTCGATTCTCTCAGGTGGGAGCTTAGGATTTTTTCCGATCGCCGACCGCATTTTCAGTTCTTTTCCAGTTATTTGGTTGTGTTCTCATAGCTTCTTCTTGCCCACTCTTTTCTCCTTCTCCATTTTCAATCCTCGTTTCATTTTTCTGGGTCTAGGGTTAGGCATAATGCCAGGAAACCCAGATGAAGATTTATCGAATCAATTGCGAGTTTTTTCTCTCTCAGATAAAGAAGCCACTTTTATTAATATAGCAAGATCGGATATCACATTAAGTGCGGATGAATGTAATAGAAGTCTTTTTGGGAAAATAATTGGGGACAGAACAACAAGCTGGATTGGAGTCAAGAGAACAATGACGAACATATGGAGGCTCTCGCAGGATATGGAGATAAAAGAATTGAGCCCGAATTACTTCCAGTTCATCTTTCAAAGCAGAGAAGATAAAATGAAGGTGGCCACTGGAATCAACTGGAGCTTTGAAAATCAATATCTTGTTCTTAAGGAATGGAGAACAGGCATCTCAATTAAGCATCCATGTTTTAATGAGCTTAATTTATGGGTCCAAGTAACAAACACCCCATTGGACTGGTTAAGCACCGAAGTTGGTTTAAAAATTGGCAAGGCATTTAAGCAAGTAAAGAATGTGGTTCTTGCAAGTGCTGGTAACCATGGAGGAAAATATCTGAGACTGTTAGTCACTGTAGATTTGGAGGAGCCTTTACCTCGAGTTGCTAATATCAGGCTGGGAGAACAAACTGCTCAGGTTGGCTTCAAATATGAGAAACTCTTAAATCTCTATCATTATTGTGGTATGATTGGCCATCTAGACCGCAGCTGCTCAAAGAGAATCTCAGACATAAACAACAATTCTCTGAAAGAAGGACAGTATGGTGATTTTATGAAGGTGTCTGAAGGATTGAAAAGGTTTGATCCTACAACATCAGGTTCTAAAGGAACTCCTCACACAGAGTCTCCCAAAGAAAATGAGCACATGTCTCATCCCCAAACATCCTCCCAACAAGCTGAAACTAGCCAGCAACTCATCCATGTTCCTGATGTCACACCTGCTACTCTCAATGAAGGTGATCAAGATTCAGTTGCATCTGCTTCTCACTCTCCTGGCAATCAAGAAGCTCTGGTTGAATCATCTCTGCAAATTGTTGAATCTTACAAAGCCAAAGCCATGGAAGTTGATCCAGAATCTCCTCACCCTATCTCAAATTTCTGCCTTAGTGAAACCCTCCCATCTCAGACCACTCAACTGTTGAGGACATGGAGAAGGGAGAAGAACAAAGATGGCAGACTTCTCAGGGAATCTACCAGCATTATTATATCTGATCAAGAGCCAACAGGGAAAAGGACAAGAACAGAGGATGAGGATAATTCTCCCTCTCCTGAGGACTTTCTACAAAACCAATCAGTACCTAAGAAGAGCAAGCTGCAATTACAGAAGGTGGGGGATGCCAGCCTGGATTGGCACCAACATTCCCAATGTTAGCTCTGGTGTGGAATTGTAGAGGGCTGAGTGGGCCCTCTACAATTTCCCAATTGCGAGAGCTGAAAAAAGCTCACCACCCAAATTTTCTTTTCCTTTCAGAAACAAAAAAACAAAAATCATTTGTTAAATCTATTGGCTCTAAGTTAGGTTATGCAGATAGGCTTGCTATTGTTGATCCTACTGGCCTTAGTGGTGGCCTAGTTCTTTTTTGGGACTCTAATATTGTTATTCAACAAATCATTTGTAAAGAATTTTTTATTGCTGTTCATTTCTCTCTTCCTCCTGGCACTCTTCAGTGGGGGCTTTTTGTGTACCTGAATCCCTGCAGAATAATTAGAACAGCTCAATGGGAGGAATTATTGCAGCAAAAGAACACCTGGGGTTCTTGTTGGTTTGCTATTGGGGATTGGAATGATATCTGGAAGGCTTCAGACAAACAAGGAGGTATAGCAAGAAGCACAACAAGTTTGAGACCATTTAACTCTTTCATTGATGGCATGGAGATGGAGGAACTTAACATGAGAGGTTACCCCTTCACCTGGTGCAATAACAGAGTTCCTGATGAGCTAGTGGAAGAGCAGCTGGATAGAGCTTTTGGTTCACTGGATTGGCACCAGAACTTTCCCAATGCTTCAGTGACTAATATTTTAAGAAGTTCTTCAGATCACTCAGCCCTTCTCCTAAATTCTGGGCTACTCTCAGATTGGAAACAGTCCAGATTCCATTTTGATAAACGGTGGGTCAGCAAAGATGGATTTGCAGATACAGTCAAACAGGCATGGCTTATTCCAGTCACAGGAACTCCCTTCTTCAGACTCAAAGAGAAAATCAAGCACACTAGAATAGCTCTACTCAAATGGAGCTCATCATTTAGATCTCAGAACCAAACTGTAATTGAAGAACTTACCCATCAGATGAATACATTGAATGAGGATAAAATGGGGAACAATTGGGTTATCTGGGATGAAACAAAGAGAGCTCTCAACAAAGATCATATTCAGGAAGAGCTATATTGGCAGCAGAAATCAAGGCAGAGATGGCTGAAAGAAGGTGATGCCAACACCAAGTTTTTTCATGCATTCACTCTTCAAAGGAGAAAGCAAAATGCAATCACTAGGCTTGTTTCTAATCAAGGAAGAATCTTGACTTCCCAGCAAGATATTGAAGGCCATATTTCAGAATTCTACTCCAACCTATTTTCTTCTGAAGTCAGCTGGGGTGGAGATTCCCTTCTCCACTTAATCCCTCAAACTATTTCAGCTGAGATGAATGATGACCTTCTTAAGCCTGTCACAGAGGAAGAAATAAAGTCAGCTCTTTTCAATTTGCATGCTGATAAAGCTCCTGGAGAGGAAGGGATGAGCTCCTTTTTTTATCAACACTTCTGGGAGCTGGTCAAATCTGATCTCATTGCAGCAATTCTAAGTTTTTTCGCTTCAGGTATGTTGCTGAAATATTGGAATCACACCATTCTCACTTTGATCCCTAAGTGCCCAAATCCAGAATCTGTCAGTCATATTAGACCCATAAGTCTATGTACTGTAATCTACAAAGTCATTTCTAAAGTATTGGCTCAGAGGTTGAAATCTTGTCTTAACTCTTG